TCCTTCACGTAGGTGGGGTACAATTGCAAGCTGTCGCGTTCTCGTTACCAGGTGCACTGGTATAGGATGACAAGGACGGGGAGATCGACGTCTTCACTGTTTTGGTGGAGAAATTAAATGCCTACTTTTCGCCGAAACAAAATTCAACGTTTGAAAGGCATCTATTTTGAAGTATATCACCACATGAGTCAGAGAATTTCTCAAAGTTTATTTTACGACTAAGACAACAAATCTATAAATGTTCTTTCGGCCAATCTAAAGTGGAGATTGAGGAAATCTGCCTAAAAGACAAAATAATTGATAAATAATTGAAGAAACTCTTGGGTAGGGAATACTCCTTGGACGATGTTATTGAAGCGTGCCAGGTCGAGGAACAAATAAGCAAACAATCTGAAGCCATGCTGACGAAACCTATCACTAGCGATTCAATCAATAAAATTACTGCTCGGAAAATAAGGCCAAATCTGGAGTGTTCGTGATGTAGTCGAATGGGGCATGCAAATAGCGATTACTCCTGTCCGGCCCGAGCAGCTAAATGTAACAAATGTTCCAAGATAGGTCATTTTGCACGACAATGCAGAACAACACAATATGCTCAGCCGAAACACGAAAATAGGAAGCGCCGCCGAAATGATATTCGTTGTGTGGAAGATGAGAGCGCTGATCCTAAACGGAAGAAGGAATGTGCGAATTGTTTTAAGATCTACAGGGACGAAGAAGAAGAACTCATAAACTGCCAAATAGGGGGTCACAACATTGCTCTCATTATTGACTCTGGATCGAAATTTAACCTTATTAGTCAATCAGATTGTGCAAGGATTAACAAAGAACCTACAGCAATCTTCAACATTAGATCGCATTCTCAGAAACAATTTCGAGGATATGCTTCTGAACAATTACTTGAAGTAATTTACGTTTTTGAAGCGCCGATATCAGCTGTGCCGAATGTCGAGGTGATTGCAACATTCTTCGTAATGAAAAATGGACGGCAGTCGCTACTGGGCCGAGAGAACGCCAATAAGCTGAACGTTCTTCGGCTAGGTCTAGATGTCAATCGAGTGGAAATGACCACACCATTCCCTAAATTGAAAGGGGTTAAAATAAAACTATGGATTGACCCCCAAGCCATTCCAGTTCAGCAGCCAGTTCGAAGAATCCCGGTGGCACTCGAGGAAAAAGTTGCCGCTAAGCTGGAAGAGAGTTTAAGTCGGGACATCATCGAATCAGTTACAGGTCCGAGCTCGTGCATATCCCCCATTGTCCTGGCTTTTAAGGAAAACGGCGATATTCGGCTGTGCATTGATATGCGTCGTGCGAATAAGGCCATTCGTCGAGAAAATTATCCACTACCGACCTTTGAGTCTTTTATGCCCAAACTAAAGGACGCAAAATACTTTTCGCGCTTAGACCTGAAAGACGCTTATCACCAGCTGGAACTGGACGAGGCCAGCAGAGAAATTATGACGTTCATAACACCAAAAGGACTCTTTCGGTACAAGCGGCTGATGTTCGGAATTAACTCTGCTCCAGAAATTTTCCAACGTCACCTCGAGCAGCTATTAGCACCGTTTACTAATGTCATGAATTATATTGACGATGTAATAATCTTTGGAGCTAGCGAAGAAGAACATGACAAGACTGTAAGAGAGGTTTGTAACACATTTAAAGAAAGCGGCGTTTTACGAAACGATCAGAAGTGCATCTGGAAAACAAACAAACTCAAGTTCCTTGGTCATATTATTTCTGACGAGGGAATCGAAGTGGACCCGGATAAAATTAATGTGATTAGAATGTTTCGAGAACCACTTAACAAGGAAGAGACTCGGAGTTTCCTAGGTTTGGTGACATACGTGGGAAAATTTATCCCAGACCTGGCAGATTACACGGATCCGCTGAGAAAATTAGTGAGGAAGGATTCGAAATTCAGCTGGGGCGAAACGGAAAGAGATGCTTTTCGGAACTTAAAGGATCGACTGGAAAAAGTACCAAACCTTGCATACTTCAACCCGCTAAATCGAACTCGCCTAATAGCAGATGCCAGTCCTGTAGCACTGGGAGCGGTGCTGTTGCAGTTCTCTGTAAATGCGGACACCTTAATTATTTCATTCGCTAGTAAAGCTTTGTCGGACGTTGAGAGACGTTATTCTCAAACGGAGAAAGAAAGTCTGGCTCTAGTCTGGGCTGTTGAGAAATTTTACTTTTACTTAGCAGGACTTCATTTCGAGCTAGTGACAGATCACAAACCGTTGGAGGCTATTTTTAAACCGACATCGAGAGCTCCTGCGCGCATAGAAAGATGGTTGCTACGGCTACAGTCCTTTGATTTTAAAGTAGTCTACAAAGCGGGAAAAGAGAACATCTCCGACGCTCTATCCCGACTTTGTCCGTTATCAGCATCCGACTCTGGTGAAAAAGAAATGGATTGTAGCATATTACAAGTGATCGAGAACAGCATTCCCCAATCAATGACTATCTCGGAAATTGCAAAGCATTCGGTAAAGGACGAAGAAATGATCGATGCAAAGGCCTGTCTGGAGTGCGACTCATGGAAACCAGGATCCCTAAAACTGCTGTACGATTTGAGTTATCAGCAATAGGACCCCTTCTTTTGCGAGGTAACCGAATTGTTATTCCTCAATCACTTCGGAACCAAGCGCTTGAGCTGGCTCCCGGGAGAGTCAGCTATGAAAAGGCGTCTGCGATCCAAGGTATGGTGGCCTCTAATTGATCGTGATGCAGAGAACTATGTCAAACGCTGCAGAGATTGTCTGCTGGTCTCCCAATGCCCTAAGCCAGCACCAAAGGATAGGAACCCGTTTCCAACAGGCCCATGGATTTGGGAAGCATCAGACATATTGGGGCCCCTACCAAACAACGAGTTTGTTGTAGTGTTTATTGACTACTATTCCCGCTATATGGAGTTCAAATTTTTACGCTCAATTTCCACAAAAAGCTTAATTGAAGTAATGAAGGAAATATTCTGTAGATTAGGTTACCCAAAATACTTAAAAACTGACAATGGACGGCAGTATATAAGTCAAGAATTCGAGGAATACTGCAAAACTTGCGGTATAGAACAGGTGAAGACTCCACCCTATAAGCCCCAGGCTAATGGGGAAGTGGAAAACATGAATCGGTCTTTGGTCAAACGGTTGAAGATAGCACACTCTAATTCAAAGAATTACAAGGAAGAAATCCAGAAATTTGTACTCATGCACAACGTTACTCCACATGGCACAACAGGAGTAGCCCCCCCCAACTGATGTTTAATAGGGTTATCCGCGACAAGGTTCCATGTATAGGTGATATTGATGAAGAGGTTTCAGACTCGGCCGAAAGGGACAGGGATTGTATGTTAAAAGAAAAAGGAAAGGAAGAGGCAGATAAGAAGAGGGGAGCACGGGAAGCCGTGATAAACGTAGGGGATAAAGTACTCTTGAAAAATGTAGTTTTTCCTAGTAAGTTGACTCCGAATTTTAAGGATACCGAATTCGAGGTTGTTGAAAAAGACAGAAACATAGTTAAAATTAGGGCAGGGGGTAGGACTCTTACGAGAAATGTATCGCACCTCAAGAAAATACCAATCAACGCAAGCCACCTGGATACATCTGGAGACTCATCGTTAAGCAGCCCTCAACCGAAGATGACATCTACTCAGGATTACCAAGACGTCGAAGAAGGAATAGGTCATCGGCTTAGACAGTCCCCAGAAGATTTGGCTCCTTTGGCTGCCCCATCCTTGAAGCTAAAACTTATCAATAAAGGAGGGATGTGGGAGCCGGCAATGAGCGGCGATGTCATGCAGGAGAGCGGCGAGAATGGCAAGGAGAGCGCGAGCGGAGTGACAGAGCAGGGGGAGAGTTAGTTGTAATTGACCGAGCGTGCGGAGCAGACGCGACACAATTATTTCTTAAATAAATCAATTGTTCTATAATCTAAATTGGAAATAACCTGTCCTTATTGAGGGGGAACTTACGGGTTACTACAGCTATGATCAAGAACAGATATACTTTATGGTTTCGGTCATTTTTCTTCCTCCCTATTATATACATTATCCCGATACAAATCATTCGATACAATACAATACAATACAATACGATACAATACTCCCTTATATACTCGGACCGGAAAGGTACTCGGACCTGGTATAAGCAAATATTCTCGTATATATAAACATAGTTTAGGACAGTTTTCGGTACTAAATAATTTAATATCATTTTAACGCATTAGTATTAGTAACGAACACCAGAAAGTAAGCTGTGTGCATGACGTCTCACAAATTTATGCTGTGTGTGTGTTGCAGAGCTCGGGCATAGAAATTTCCTATGCCCTTGGAATAGGGCCCTGCCGACCACTGGTCTAGGGTATTATGTAAATATTTCAAAAACGTAGTTTGATTTCGTTACTTAACAAGAAAGGAAAGCTAACTTCGGGCGGAGCCGATGTTGATATACCCTTGCAGTTAAAACCGGCTATACATTGCAAATATCGGATATATGTAGTTGTCCCAAACTTCTATCTTCAAAAATACCAAAGTTGGTATTTCTACCAAAAACCATTTCCGATCGTTCAGTTATATGGCAGCTATAAGATATAGTTGGCCGATCCTTATGAAATTGAAAAGATCGGGTTAACTGACCAAAAATAGAATCTGTACTAAGTTCCAGCTTTCTATATTAAAAAAAACGAAAAAAACCGATTCCGGTTATTCAAAAACCGATCCCGGTCGTTCCGACTTATATACTGCGTGCAAAGAAAAGGGTGCGTGCAAAGTTTCAAGTCGATAGTTTTAAATATGAGAGACTAGCTTGCGTAGAAACAGACAGACGGACAAACGGACATGCTTATATCAGCTCAGGAGGTGATCCTGATCAAGAATATCTATACTTTATAGGTTCGGAGATGTCTTCCAAAATTATAATACCCTCTGTAAGGGTATAAAAATAAAATCAGCCTCTATAAATCTTAAGTGAAATATATTATATTTGTAATTTTTTTAGCTTTAGCGCAAGTGAGTGAAGTAAATCAGGGAGAAACGGAAAAAGGAAATGTACATACAGGAACTGAACCGATTTCCATGGGCGCACCCGATTTAAACTGTACCCAAGTAAGCCATCCTACTACTGCCAGTGTCCCCAATTTGATTGACAGCTATATTGGAAAACGAAGAACAGCCAACCATCCCTGTCCAGTGTGTGGAAAACATTATGTTAATGAGGGCTCTTTAAGAAAACATCTAGCCTGCCATGCTGAGACCTCACAGCTTACAAACAGCTTGCGCATGTGGCCCTGTAGCGTTTGTCAAGCTGTCTTCACTCATGAAAACGGTAATCCTTTATACAGCAGTTTGACGGGATGATCTATACATTTCAGAATTTTCCTTAATAGGTTTGCTCTCTCACATGGAGTCAATGCGGATGGATCCCAAACATCAATTTGCAGCCCAGTACGTCTTGGTAAGTTGGAAAGCATGTATAAACAGCATGTATAAACATAACGTCAATATACTTGTATAGTTGACCGATCTTTATGAGAATTTCATTATAAAATAAAAATTTCTTATAGAAAAAAGTAGAAAAAACCTTTTTTTTATTTTTGATAGTTTGGTTATATGAAAGTTATGAAACATAGTCTGCTGATATTAGATGTATGATCTGTTGATGATATACCTATAGATATATGATCTGCTGATGAAATTTAGCTGACAGGATCAGTTTGCCTAAAATATAATCTTTATCAAGTTCCTTCCACTTCTACTTAAAGATATCAAAAACACAAAAATTGGGTCATTCCTCCCCGTTTTATAGCAGATGCGCAACATTAAGTTTTTAAAGATTGGTGCCCTTGCGAATTAAATGTTTAACTTCGGTTCTGCTTGCGTGATTTAGCGTAAGAAATAAATCGCTTACTAGAATTGGCAGGCAATAACTATGGTGTGGCTTTGGTGCTTTTAAATAAGAGGTTTAGAAACCACCGTATAATTTTTCAAGCGCAAGAACAGCAAATATTTAATTTGCGATCAGGGAAAGGTTTGCCATCGAGAGGACTCCGTGAGCTGTTCGATAATTTCAACGCATATGCGGGCCCCTTCTATCATGGGTGAGTGTCTATCAGCCCAGGTGTTGCTACAGAAGCTGGACCCGCCCACGCAGGGGAAATGGATTGAGATGCAGACGATAGACAACATTTCTTAGACCAAGCTTGGCAAACGTAGGTTAGGTTAGATTAGTTTAGGACGGCTGACGGTTTTCCTAAAAAAACAGACACACTTAGATCGGGTTCGGTCCCTTGTGATACCGTTATGGGGTGAATTCATTCGCCTAGCCAGTGTTCCCACTAAGCAGTGCCCGGTGGTGGCTCCAGTTGCATTACTGTTTCTGGTCCTATACATCCTTAATAATTGGGATATTCTTTTCCTTGAAATATTGGGCCAGATTTGGAGGGCCAACCAGCCTTTTGGCACAGATTCCCAGTCAAGTTGAATTTTTTTTAAATTCGGTACATGCGAGGTTGAACGAATTTAGATGCTTTAGTGTTTCCCTCAAGCCTGAGTGTCCTCTAAAAGAGGCTGCAGTAATTGGGTACTCTAAAGGAGGCTCTGATGCTAGTTGTTCGGAGTGTATGATACACCTTCTATTTTTTTTTTTTTAAGGTGCTACCAACTTCTTTAAGGTAGTTTTTGTTTTGAGGGCTGGCCACCATACCAGGACCCAATACAGAAGTAGGGGTCTGACTATGGCAGAGTAGATCCAGCTCACAATGTAAGTGGACTTGCCATTTTAGACCTATTGCTTTTTTGGAGGTAAAGAGATCTATAGCGGCTTTCTTCGACCTTTCTTCTATGTTAAGATTCCAGTTTAGCTTCCTATCTAGTACCACCTTTAGGGACTTTGCGCTGTCGCTGAAGGTGATATTGTCTGATAAGAGGACTAGCTCTACTGAAGAGGACTAGCTTTTTTTATTTTTCGCTCGTTACTCCCAGGCCATTTCTGAGTGTCCAGTTTCACAAGAAAGGTCCCAGGTCGCAAAGAGACTGAGGGTATTTTCCCATGAAAATAATGGTAACTCTCTTCCATCCCTCTTCCATATTACACGGAATCGAGTTGATGGCTATGTTCCATTATAGGGGGGGAGACTCCTCCTTGCGGGGTTCGTCTGCTGACGGCCTTTGAGAAGGTTAATGTGCCTAGTCCATCAATGTCCTGGAAATTAGTAATTGATCAATGAGTCTCGCCAAGTTGCCATCTACTCCCAGAGACGTCAGGGCGTTAGTTATGGTGCTTAAGAGAACCTTGTTGAAAGCCCCCTCAATGTCTAGGAAGGCCACGAGAGCATACACGTTTTGGTATATTGCTCTTTCTATCCTAGAGATGAGCGCGTGGAGAGAAGTTTTTTGGGATCTTCCCTATTTGTATTCATGTTATGCTTTTGATATGAAGGTTTGGCTTTGAGTGAATCTCACTAGGATCCTTTCTAGGGTTTTAAAAGGGAAGGAGGATAGGCTGATTGTCTGCGATGGCTTGCCTGCTTTCGGTATAAACATAATCCGTGACCTGAGCCACGGTTGTGGAAATTTACTTAAGGTAATGGATCTTTTAAAGATATCTTAGAGCCAGTTCATGGCAATCTTTTCCGCATGTTGGATTTGTGCGAGAGTTATCCCATCAGAACCCACCGATGTGAAAGGCTTAAAGCTATGTATTGCCCATTGTAGGGGTTTCTAGTCGAAGTCTAACTTAAAGCTCTATGGATCTCGGGGTCTGCGGGGGACCGCACGACAGCTTAGTGCAACGAACTTGGCGCCCTTAAAGACCTCTCCGAGCTCTTGTCTCAAAGATCTTCGCTGCAACGCTACCCTTAGGTAAGGCCTTTAGTGGCACTGATGGCCACTTTAATCTCTTGCTTTATGTCGTCAATTGGCCTTGCGTAATTGGCGTAACACTTATCCTTGACGGCACCCCACAAAAACTAATTCTACGGGTCAAATCGCAGCTGCGGCCAGATGACATCGCCGACTTTGGCCAAAATTCGTGGCAGGGAAGTGCGCGAAATGTCCAATGCTTGAACACGGTGCCGAGTTGACCTCCACGGATTGTCATTGACACTTTTGGCACCTCATCGATAGTTTGTTTTTTATCCATCAATGATCCAGTCTCACGCACACGGTTCACAAAACTATCCAAAAACAGCCTGGAAGGCGTTTCATTTTTTCCAAATTTTGACCGCAATTTTTTTGCAGTTATGGTTGAAGTTTCAATATTTCCCAATTTTCTTCAAGCGTAAACTTAACCATTTTGGTAAACCACAAAACTTCTGCTAAATATCTGACACATTGACAATGACATTTGAATGTCAAAGTCAAAATTATCGATAGTTCAAAAAGCAATCGCTATATGGGCCACCCTTTACTTACATATATTCATATATCCACATTAATAATACATATACATATTTTATATATATCCGATCTCAACTGTAAGGTATGCCAAAACGAACGGTATGACAAAACGATTTTTATTTTATTTCTTGATTCTTTTCATTGCGAGACTTACAAGAGGTGTATAAAATCGTATATTCTTAACTTGACTAACAGTCATAATGACTGATACAGAGTTAGACGGCCCCAAAAATTCTATTGCTGGGTTGAGAGGTCGTTGCGTCGCAATCGGGATACGCTAGAAACCCGAGTCAATTCCCGAGCGAGAAAATTTGGGTGCGAAGACAACTTTTCCTTGTATGACTCATTTTGCTTCTGGATTTCATCTTTCACAGCGAGGATGCCCAGATCTCCAAGGTGCCCCAGTGATAGCTCTCCAGATTTTTGATTGTGCTGCATGATGTCTATGTTGCTGCTCCTGGCGTTTCCCCCAGCTGGGAGCCATACGTCCAGATTGGCTTTAGGACTGAATTGTAGAGTAGTAAATTGTAGTAACTAGGCACAGTTGCGATCGTGAGTTTATGGTCCAGTGGAGGCTGCTGAAAGAGTAATGAAAGAGAAATGAAAGAGTGATAATTTGCCTGAACCATAGTGCTCTGAAATAAAATCCTTAACTTTTGGCCATTAGCCATTCAAAATTTTACGACTTAAACCTGAAAGGCTTTTATCTGGGCTAATTAACTCAAAATGTTTTGCCAGGGAAATTTTCAGCACATCTGGTATTTTTTAATTATTAATTTTGTTTTTGGCTCTAATGTTTAATGTAATCTTATAATTTCAGTCTCGTGCGGCAGCTGAACAGCGAGAGCGAGAATCCATCCTAGCAGTAACATTAGCAGCAAGTAGCGGCGGGAATTGTGGAAGAATAGGTGTGGGAGATACCGCAAATATTTTATCCATGGGTCGCAACTCAGAAGGATCCAACTCAAAGTGCCCTTCTCCATTGGCTAATTCCGAATGTTCATCTAATGGACGCCTATCCTCATCCACCGCTTCCGATCAAGATATTGAACATGGACTTAGTGAAACTGAAAACAGTAACCAGAACAACATTAGTAGCACAAACAATAACAATAGTTGCACCAACAATAACAATTGTAATTCTGGAAAACCGACCGAGTTTCGTCTACCCGGTTGCAGCCAATACAATATAGAAACAGATCTACACGTAGCAAACCAAATGTCTCTAATGGCAGCAGCTGCTGCAGCAGTTGCAGCATCGCGACCGCAGGACGTAGCTGACGGAACGGCAGTTCCCAATGCGGCAGTCCAAGCAGCTGTAGTAAATCTCGCTGCTGCTATGCGTATGAACAATTCCAGCAGCGGCTCCACCGGTTACCAGCAACAAGTAAGATAAATTAAACGTTTAAAAAAAAAAAAAAAATTTTATCAACTCAGTTAGGAACATAACATAGATTATTTTAATAAAAAGATTATGCATATTCGTTAAACACAAATTCAAATTCATAAGTTAAAAAAAAAGAAAGCTAACTTCGGGCGGAGCCGAAGTTGATATACCCTTACAGTTAAAACCGGATACATATCGCAAAAATCGGATTTAGTGGGCCGATCATTCTGAGAGTATAATAATATAACCTGAGAATATATAATATACATATAATCTTCAAAAATACAAATGTTGGTATTTTCACCAAATACCATTTCCGATCGTTCAATTATGTGGCAGCTTGTTATGTAGTAGGCCGATTGTTATGAAATTTGGTAGGCGGGATCAACTGACTGAAAAATATAATCTGTACAAAGTTCCAACTTTCTATTTGCAAAAAAACGAAAGTTGCGTCATTTCCGATTGATCAGTTATTTGGCAGCTATAAGATATAGTCGGCCGATTCTTATGAAATGATGGGTCGTACTATTTTGGCAAAAGTAGCATTCGTACAAAATTCGAACCCTTTAACTCTAAAAACACCAGAGTTTTAGCATTTCCGATCAATCAGTTATATGGCAGCTATAGGATATAGTCGGCCGATCAGCCGATGCAAAAGAAAGAAAGGTGTGTGCGAAGTTTCAAGACAATAGCTTTAAAACTGAGACACTAGTTCGCGTAGAAACGGACAGACAGACAGACAGACAGACGGACATGCTTATATCAACTCAGAAGGTGATCCTGATCAAGAATATATATACTTTATAGGGTCGGAGATGTCTCCTTCACTGCGTTGCACACTTTCGACCAAAATTATAATACCCTCAAAATCTCGGGTATAAAAAATCAAGATATTATACGTATATCTTGCATATCTTGAATTGTATATTACAAGCAAATGAGTAAAAATAATTTTTTAGGAATGAACATTCCAAAGAAGTAAATATGTTAAGGTAGTTGTAAAGGTAGATTATGTGGCGTTTCTTATAATTTTCACATCTAAAACATCAAATTTTTTGAATAAAAATCTAAAATATTGGAATACCGTTTACTTTACAGCAAAATGATCAAACGCATTCACATACGCATCTGCACCCGCAACATCAGCAGCAACCGCAAGGCAACCAAAATCAACAGTCGCAATTGTCACATTTTTTAGGAAATTCACATCCACCCAACTCCAATTGTCTCCCTCAACGTTCACCGCCAATAAGCGTGCCAAGCTTGCACATGCATAGTGAACCAACATCTGCTGCGACAGTCGCTATGAACATGAATGTTCACATGATGCGCGCCTCCGTCGACTCAGACCCCTCACTGGTTGGGATGCATTCTATAGATGCTCTTCATCAGCACCACCAACATCAACATCACCAAGCATCTAATTATTCACAGCATTCAGTGATTCCCACATCCCAGCTCTCACACCCTCATTTGCATCCTAGTTCTCACCAACAAGATCCGGAAGCCGCCCTTCGGCTTCACCATGCAGAAGCAATTTTGCGTTCCCAAACGGAAGTAGCTTTTAGGTTAGCTTCTGGACCGGGAGTAAAGAGCGAGTCCGAACTACAGAATGTGAATGGTAATGAACTCGTAAATGCCAGTATTAACAGAAACGAACCGCAGCATCGCTTCTCAACACATCAGCAGGAACACCAAGTTCCTTCGAACTCCTGAGCCACATATATAAAATCCGCTAAGGCGGAGGTGGGTACGAATTGAAAAAAATTAAGTACAACGACGTCATAATTACGTTAACTGCAGTTAAAAAAATAGGATTAATTTAATACCTTTGAATTTGTAAGAAAAAACTTTGTTTATTTACGAAAAACGATTGATATAAATGAGATTATGTTTGTATGTAAGTTTATACCCCAAAACCGAAATCAGTAAACTATAATCTATTCAATGTGCAATATAAAAGCTCACCTTTTTACTGGCAACCATTATTAAAGAATCTACACGTTTAAGTTCAAAATATGGAAAAGGTAAATGCAAGTAAATTATAAATACACGCATTGAAATGCTACTGGGTCTGGAAAAATCTGTTTAAGACCTTAAAACATTGGTTCTCTGGTTTTATTGGCCTTGATTATCATACCGGGAAGCTTCAGTAGATCTTAATTAGACAGTCCAGCCCGCACCTCCGCTAAGCAACCCAAATTTAAAAAGTAATATAACATTAAAAAAGGAAAACTCCTTTTTCTTGAGGTATTTTGGTTTAATTTAAATGTATAAATTTATAATTTATATATTTCTTTATTGTATATTTTGAAGGGAAAGCTATATATTGCTTTCTTAGTTTTTTTTTCATAAAGTATAATATTTCATTTTTTTGAAGAAAACCCATATTATGTTATATTGGCAATTTTATTTTATGGTAATGGTTTTCTTAGAGATGTCTTAACTATCACTAGATCTCATCTACAATATTCTATATTTATTATAGAGCTCATTGTATATCAGAGAACGGAAACAAGTATAATTAAATATGAGCGAAGACTCATGCCCAAATGGCAATGAAATCAATTCAAACCATTTGACACAACGAGTTCGATTCAACTCAAGTAACTTCAACGTCAGGGGATTTGATTTTACATGAACCTATTTTCTCTCGGCAATCACAATCAAGTTCAAGCTATGGGCGAAGTAGGCTTCGATCAAATCGTTTGATGCGATTGCTGCCAACGCGTTGCGTTTAATTGTTGCTAACTTAGAATTCAAGGACTTTTTTTCTCGAGTATAATAGTTTTGATTTTAATCATCTACTGTTTACTCGAGTGATTCGGTTATGACACGTGTGATAGAAATGTTCGTTGTGTTCAATGCAGTTCAAAATTATGTGCTCTGTCTACCTGTATACGTTTTTCGGTTTTTTAGCATTTACCAGAAAAAAAACCGTGCAATGTGTATTATTTAAAACATTATCCATCATTAGTCACAACATTTTCCCATCGTTGTGTCAGCATACGGAATCCGTGTCGAAACAAATCCGTTTCTTTTAAGGCGATCCACGAATCGTGAGATGTAAAATGCTGCTCAGCCAAACCGTCCGTAATAGATCTGAATAGGTGATAATCAGAAAGGGCTATGTCTGGGCTATACGTCGGATGGGGTACGACTTCCCATTTTAGCGTTTCTAAGCAAGTTCTCAACCGCTTCGCAATATGTGGAGTTTATTTTTGATTTCGGATAGAGTGTGCCACAGAGAACTGCGTCCTTCAGAAAGACTATATTCACCGCGATCGATTTTTTTCATAACAATTTTATTGTTTTCTACTATTATCCTCGAATGGAAACTGTGAAACTTGGCAGAAAACAGTAAAACTTTCTGGAAATACATATGTATGTGTGCACAATTTCTAGAAATACACGAAATAAAAAATGTGTGCACAAATACATGAACACAATGTGTAATTTGACTAAGATTGAACTTCAGTTGTTGGTTTCGTCATGAAACTTGTTCGTCGTCATTGAGTTGGAAACGAAAAGTTTAATACTTATACCCGAAGCAAAACTCAAACAGAGCACTGAATGAAAACCGTGCAACTTGGCAGAAAACAGTACAACTTTCTGGAAATACATATGTATGTGTGCACAATTTTTGGAAATACACAATTACAACTCACGTCGTCAGTGAGTTGGAAACGAAAAGTTAAATACTTATACGCAAGCATATATTAAATTTATTTAAGTAATTCAGTTATGAGAATAGGAGTAGCAATTAGTACAGGGGGTTATTATAATGACGAGGAATTGATGGATTGCCGTGACTGCAGCTCGAGATCAGCAGGGGCTCACGATTGAGTAAAGACTGTCGAACGAAATCGCCGCACGAGAGAATGCAGTTGCATACATAACATTCCTTAACACCCAGACAGATCGTAGAACTGGGGGCGGCGACGGTCACAGGCCGATCTGCTCAGGCTCAGGCGAACGCTGTGGCCCAGCTGGAGTTGTGGATCCGCCAGCTACCGCGTCAGCTGGGGTTGGAGTGGAACAGCAAGTTTTGGCTGGACTGCGCAATCGCAGCTGATCCAGATGTCGCCTGACTGTTCGGTCGTCCTCGAGTCACACCGAATAGGAAATCGGTCCCGTTCGCTTCGAGACGTGGCCCTCAAGCCACTTGGGACCGCTTGTATAGTTTCGGACCCAAACAGGGCTGCCTGTAACAAAAGTCTTTTTAGTTTGGGCATCGCAGATCTTACCATATGATCTTTCGCCTGGACTTAATTTGTCAAAGAATGTCTTAAGCTCCCTATTGAACAGTAACTCCGCTGGCGAATGCTTTGTGTCGGAATGGGGCGTAGTTTGGGATCTAGTTTCTTCAAGTAACTCTTCGTTCGTTGGTTGCAGGGTGGAACGGTGCGGATCGGATGTGACGGATCCGATTGTTTTTCGTAAACAACTTAAACTCCTCGGAGGTAAAAGCAGTTCCGTTGTCGAGTACGATTTCATCCGGAAAGCCATGGGTTGCGAACAGTTGCCTAAGTAAGGTGATTGCAGCTGACGCGGATGTCGATTTTACGAGGCAAACTTCAAGCCACTTCGTAAAAGATTCGACGACTAACACAAATGTGTTCCCTCGAAACGGTCCGGCAATATGAGTGTGCAGGCGGGACCATGGTTTCTTGGCAGACTCCCAGTGATGTACGTCCGATTGTGGGGGAGAATTTCTCGTTTGTTGGCACGCTAAACATTGACTCACCGCCTTTTCGATATCTGCATCCAGACAGGGCCTAACGATTCTAACGATTCCCGGATGGTGCGCGTGTAACGATCCCTGCCTGTGGGATCAGTTGCCCATTCGATCATGAAAACTTCTTCTGTTCGAGGCTCATGGTGTATTTCTGACGTTGGGCAGCGGCTTAGGAAATCTGCTTCTCTATCGCAAAGATTCCCAGCAGTGGGCGATGATCTGTAATAAGCGTGAACTTCCTTCCATATAAATAGTTATAACATTTTTTGACACCTGTGACTAATGCTACCGCTTCTCTGTCGAGCTGCGAGAAGTTCCTCTCTGCCTTTGACAGCGTGCGAGAGTAAAACGCAATCGGTTCCTGTGTCCCATCTTCCATTTCGTGGCTAAGTACTGCTCCTAACCCGTATGGTGACGCATCGCAAGTTAAGATCAGTGGGCGGTCCGGAGAGTAATGACCGCATCCGATTAGGACCGCATCCGATGCGATAAGTTTCTTTAGTTCTGCGGATGCTTTTTGGTGCTCTGGACGCCATGTCCATTATACGTTCTTGTCTAGAAGTCAAGATGAAGTCTAGAAGTCACCAGTGGCTCCGCAATGATGGCCTCCTGGGGTAAGAATGAGTGATAAAAATTAGTCAATCCCAGAAACGCTTGCAACTGTTTTATCTCTTTTAGCGGTGGCGCCTCATGGATGGCTCTAACTTTGTCGGCTGATGGCCTAATGCCCAGAGCGTCAACTTTGAATCCAAGAAATTCGATGGAAGATACCCCAAACTGACATTTGTCCTTGACGTAATCATGCCTGGTCTATACGGGCTAGAAATTCGAAATCTACTCGCAAGTTCTTCTTCTAATTTACCCATTATTACAATATCGTCAAAATACGGAAAGACGCCCGGTATGTTTTGCAGTCTGGTATTCTTTCAATGTAGCTTTGGAATATTCCTGGGGCTGCTAATTCCGAATTGTAGTCTTGTTACCTTAAATGCTCCTTTGTGAGTAGCAATTGTTTGTATCAAAGCTGACTTTTCGTCTTTTACCAAATGTTGATAAGCCTGGGCCAAATCTATTTTTGCGAAAATTTAGCCTCCTTCTATCGAAGCTAATAGCGGGTTGATTGCAGGAATTTGATGGCAATGCGGCTGTACCGCTCTGTTAAGCGTAGATTTATAATCTCCACAAATGCGAATGGAACCATCTTTCTTGACTATGGGAACCGTCGGAGTGGCCCACTCATAGTACTCCACAGGCTCAAGTATTCCTTGGGCACAGAGACGGACCAACTCTTCTTCATATGGCTTAAGGAGTGGGTAAGGAATTCAACGCGGCGGTAGTCTGACCGGCGGAAATTCCTGGTCCACTTTGAGGGCCACTAGCGGCCCCGTATACCAACTAAGATCTGATGAAAACAAATGATCGAATTTCCTAAGAGTTTTCGCGAATCCATTGCCGCACTGCACGCCATAAATGCCTTCTATGCGGATTTCGAGAGGTTCAAACCAGTTGCATCCTCGAAGATTTGACCAGGTGCCGGACGTGACGACCAATGGAAGATTACTGATACGGCGATTATTGTAGTGGATTGACGTGTCGGTGATTCCCTTGACCGGAATGGGGTTACGTTGGTAGTCGTTTAGCTTTATTTGACTTTTGACGAGATCGGGATTACCGTTTGGCCAGATGTACCGATACGAAGGTTCCTTCATGATGGTGACGGGCGACCCGGAATCAACTTCGAACTGGCATGAGCGACCGTTGATTACCACGGCCACGGATTTCTTGGGGCTGACCACCGGAACTATTTGATGAACGAGTCCGTGCGATGGCCTGTTGCTACGCATGTTACTGGACGTAGGAGATGAAGATTTTGTTGACCCAGCTTGACTGTACTGCGGAATACGCGATGTATGTGGCCAGTTCGACCACAGGAATGACAAGTGGCGTTACGGAACGGACACTTCTTGCGGACGTGCCGACCCCCACAACCCGCGCAACTTGAACTTATTCCGTGAATGCACTCGTTGCTCGACAACGCACTCGCAGCGGCTGCTTCACTAGTGACGGCTCGTTCCATGGCCCGCTGCACCGTCAATTCGGGTTCGGCTAGAAGGCTTCGCCGGAGACCTTGCAAGACCAGACCATGCCACACACAAATCGGTCCCGCAAAATGCCATCTAACATCTGTTCAAAATTTTTTTTTTTATTTTGTTTTTTTTTTTTGTG